AAAGGTAATTAAGTAATGAGAACCCAGTTCATTGCAAGGGAGGGGGGGTGGACAGCAGCAGCAAGAAGTTTGGGGGGCAGAAGGAGCGTTGTTAAAAGCTGAATGGAAAGCGTCCCTGTATTCTCAGCACCAGCTATAAGAAGGAGCCCGCCTCGATGGGCCTCATCCTTATGGCTGGAGAGATAAGATAGGCTGGGCCGCCCGGGTTCCTAATTCCTGTGCACTCCAGAATAACAGCCGGCTAACAAAGACTGACGGCCGCGGAGTAAGCTGGCCTGGGAATTAATTGCACGCCGTGTTCTCAGCCGTGCAGCCGACAGAATAAAGCGCCGCCTGCGTGCATGGAGGAGCACTTCCTACAAAGCCCGGCGAGCGGCCTCCATCCCCGATCACTGGGGTGACAGGGCAGAGGAGAAGGAACGTCCATCTTCACTTGCGGGAGCTGGACTTGGCCCATCCAGAAATGCAGTGCCGGGAACAGGCAGCACTGAACGAGCAGCTGAGCTCCTAGCAGGGGGCCCGAGGGAGGTATTTTTGAACCTTCCCAGGGAGCTTTTGCCCCTGCAGCTCTGCTCGGCTGTCGGCATAAATAGAACGAGATACAAGCCTTTTTTTGGCTTTTTATTAGATTGAGTCTCTGCGAGAGAGGCTGGAGGAAGAACAGCATTTTAAGTACAACCGGGCAGCGATTCAAGACCTCTCACTAAGACATTAAACACAGCCCAACTGTCCAGAGACAGGCTTGAGAGCGTGGTTTTGGAGGCTGGTGTTCTCTCAGCCCCTCTCCAGTATTTGATTTCTGCCCCACTTTGAAGGTAGCATTAAAAAATCATGACAGCAGGCACTTTCCAAGCTGAAGTTAGGAGAGTCGCCCCCCGCCCCCGGTTTCCCTGCGTGCTCACGCGCCCCATCGCACAATGCACAGCGGAGCTGGAGAAGGCAGGCCGAGCCATTCGCCCCGCTGGAGCTGAGGTTAAGAATAGCTCTGCTGAGGGAGCGAGTGTGCGAAACACTTGTGCTCTTGTGTCACACGAGATACGGTTCCAAACAGCTGCAGGCCGAGCTGTGGGGGATGGGAGGCCGTCGCTAAACGCCTGCAAACCTGAGCTGCCCTCCCAGAGCTTTGGACTCTGCCTCTCGGTTGCAAAACAAACGCCTAATCCAAGCCCTGACAAAGGTCACAGGAAACCTTCCGCAAACCTTGGTTCGAGCCCAAAGTTTTTGGGATCAAGTTGGACAGAGGTTGCACGCTGCACTCCTCCAGGCAGCTCCTTGTTACCGGAGAACCCGTGCCAGGGGCTCCCAGCAGAGAGGAGAGGCGGTGGAGGCTGGGTTTGCACAGAGAAGGGTCCAAGGCTGCCTGGAGCTGTTTCAGCTTACTTGGGATGTTTTTAGTGGTTTGAAATCCATTTTAGCTGAAGGCAAAACAGAGAGGTTTCTCAGGTTAGGAAGGACTTAACCCCTTCCCACTCCACCACTATCTGACCTGCCTCCGGGGACTCGGGAAAACCAGTTCCCGGTGGTCAGCTTCTTCCATCGCCGTCCAACGCAGGGACGCTTGTGAAGCCCCAGGGCCGGCTATAGTCCGACGCAGGCTACTGGGTTAGCTGCCTTTGGAACAGACCCACTGATTTCTGCTATCCGTTGTCTGCTCCTGTCGGTGTAAACCCTCAGCTGGCCGCTCCTGCCTCCCCAAATGCTGCAGTGTGATTCAGCGCGTGAGATCGAGCAGTGGTCCAGCACACACGTGCCCAGACTGGTCTGTCCCATGGATTTCAGCAGGCTTTTCACCTGCTGGGAGATAAGGAGCTGGGAAGGGCTACAGAAGAGAAAGGGAAGGTAATAAGAAGCAAAAATGAAAGTGACTGGGGAAGTTCCCTTCTCCCGGGACAACAGAGAAGCAGCTTTAATGACCAGCCCAGAAAGGTGGGGGACGGGGGCAGCTAGACGCAGGTGGGGGGCAGATTTCCTCCGCACGACGAAGCCCAGAGATGACGGATCCTAGTTACTAGCAGCCTGGCCCTGATCCGAGCCAGCAGCCAGGCAGCGAAGGGCTCCGAGTCCCCAGGCTCTCTCTGAGCACAAACAACCGAGGAAAGGACGGTCCCATCCATTACCAGGACCGCCGGCCCCTTGGGAACCAGGCAGTACGGGCAGCTGAGCAGTGCCCTGCCCTCGTCTTTCCGCAGGGGGCCGCGTGCTGGAAGTGGGCTTCGGCATGGCCATTGCCGCCAGCAAAGTGGAAGAGTTCAACATCGAGGAGCACTGGATCGTCGAATGCAATGAGGGCGTCTTCAAGAGGCTGGAGGAGTGGGCCAAGAAACAGCCCCACAAGGTAGACGCGGCTCTGGTGGTGGCGGGTAGGGGCAATTAGAAATGCAGAGTCCTGCCCAGCTCCGCTGCAGCACCCTCTGCTCGTGTCCCTGCCCTCACGTGGCCGTCAGCGCCGGCACCAAGGATGCTGCCCTCACAGCACCCAAAGCATCAGCCCTGTATTGCAGATGAGGCACCAAGGGGCACGGGGGCTGCAAAGAGGACACAAGACTTAGGCGAGGCACGAGTTGCACCCAAGGTCCAGGGCCACCAGCTCAGCCCCTTCCTGCTCCACTGATTCCCCTGAGTGGGAGGAGGAAGCCACTCTGGACACACAGAGACAGCTCAGCAGTGACCTCAGTGCCACCCTCCTGCTAGGGAAACATTACCCCAGGGGCAGGGAGAGGGCAGACGCCTCCCACGCGCTCCCTGGAGCCGAGCATGCCCCCAGTAAATCATCCCTGCGTCTCTCACTCCATCGAGGGAAGGGAAAGGGAAAGGGAGTGGATCCACTCCTGCTTCGGCCAGTCTCCGAGCAGCCCATGCCCTGCTGACCTCCCCCTGTCTCTGGTCTCCTGCAGGTCGTCCCCTTGAGGGGCCTGTGGGAAGATGTGGTCCCCACGCTGCCGGATGGACTTTTTGATGGTAAGGAGAAGAGGCAGAGGCAGAACAAACCCCGAGGGGCCGTGGGATTGTGAGAGCGGGGCTGCAGGCTCGGAGGACCCTGTCAAGCACCCTCCGTCCCCGAGACCCTCAGAGCCAGGCCCTTAGGGACAGAAACCATCACAGGAGTCGGCACAGCCTGGCTCTGGGAAACCCAGCTCTGCCAACCCGCAGCCTGGGGCCCGAATCCCCTGAACCTCCCTGCCTGCACCGGTCAAGCCCTCGCCCCAGCGAACGGGTCCAGATGGTGGTGGTGCATTTTGCACTGTTGGTGAGTCCTCCCCTTTCCTCCCCGCGCAGGCATCCTGTACGACACCTACCCCCTGTCCGCAGAGACCTGGCACACTCATCAATTCCACTTCATCAAGGTACAGAGCTGCACCCTCACGGCCTCAGCAAGCCTCCTTGGCTGGCAGGGGGAAGCAAGGGCACTCGCCGGTCGGCAGGATCAGGATTTGAACAACACAACGGGAGACTCGGCCTCTCCGCTCAGGGCAAAGCTGCCAGGGGCACGGCGTGGCCTCCAGGCAGCGTTTTCTATCAGGCTTCACTTGTCCTCACATCACAGCCATGAACTTCACTGTGGGAGAGGGACAAATATGTATTAGCAAGGGGGAAACCCATGCTTCGCAGCACAATCCAGAGTGGGCGGGAGGGGAAGAGCCCAGTGCAGGAAAGCTGGCAGTGGCTGGGGGCATCCCTGACCCCACTCCCCTCCCTGTCCTGCAGAGCCATGCTTTCCGCTTGCTGAAGCCCGGTGGCGTCCTCACCTACTGCAACCTGACATCATGGGGGGAGCTGCTCAAGACCAAGTACACAGACATCGAGAAGATGTTTGAGGTGAGGGGGGACAGCTCAGGGGCAGGAGGGGCCAAACCCCACGTATGCCGCCTTGATCCCCCGTGGTCCCAATATCTGCTGGAGGGAACAGGCTTGCAGCACACAGCCCCACCCCGTGCCCCCGGCATCAGCAGCATGGTGCACAGGCACAGAACTGAACCCCAGCGCCTCCCAGGCCTGATCCCATCCACAGCTGCTAAGAGCTGCTGGGTCTTTCCAGCAGTTCCTTCCAGACAGCTGCATGGGAGGACAGCATCCATCGTACTGATACGGAGAGGTGCTGGGAGGGAAAGGACGTGGCCCTGAGTCTCGGTGGGGAGGGACTGGGCCTTCAGGTGGGTTCGGATGCTGAGCCCATCCTTCCTCTCTCCCCGCCACAGGAGACTCAGGTCGGGCACCTGGTCGAGGCTGGGTTCAAGAGGGAGAACATCAGCACAGCAGTGATGGACCTGACCCCGCCCCAGGACTGCAGGTACTACGCCTTCCCCAAGATGATCACGCCCACCGTCGTCAAGCAGTGAATCCTGCCGGGAGGAGAGAACCAATATCCAGGACTGACCATTTACACTGCAGGGAGAAGGGGCAATGCTCCTCACCTTGGGCACTCACAAGGGAGGATCAATGCTGGGGGTAGGAAGGGCTGGGGAAAGCCTGCTTGGAAGTGGTGCCTGCAACCAGGCTTTCACTGGGCCACGTCTCACAAAGCGCCCCAGTGAAGCAGGTACCAGAGCAGGATCCAGGACCCTGCTCTGCTCGGCGCCTCAATTCCCATCCTGGTTCAAACAGCACTTTAGAGATCTCTGGATGAAGAGGACTGGGACAGAAGTGGGGAGGGCCTTCAGCTGGCCCCCGGGCAAGCCCCTTCTGAGACCTGGGCTCAGAATCGCAGGCTGGGACCAGCATCTGTTAAAGCCTGGCAGTAGATACTGTAAAATCAGACTTCAGTAGAAGTCAGGAGCACGCAGGTGATTCGGATCAAGGGGCGGGAACAAATCCAGAAGCTGCTGAGAGGCCGGGATCCTTTAAAAACTACAAAAAAAAGACACTTAGCTTTCCCCAAGCCAGCCGACTCCCCCTCCTCCCTCCCCGCATCTTAATGTCAAGAGCCTTCACATTTGCATTTTGTAATTAAAATGCGACGGGGTCGATTCCCAGAGCAGGGTCCCACTGGGGCTCTGCAAATCTTTTTTTTTTTTTTGACTAATGCCGTTTTTAATCAGATTTTGGTAACAGATTCTTTTGACCTTCCTGGAAGTTTATTACCGCATGAATAATTACCCAGCTCCGCACAGAAAGGGTGGGCAATGTGCCGGTCATGCAAACACTGGAGACATTAAATTGACTTGGAAATCTACAGCGGAGACTTTGGAGTCATTTATGTTGATCCCTCCAACGCACGCACAACTCGGCCCTGCTTCTTGTCCCCGTCGTGGCTGGCTCACTGGAGCTTAGCACTCATCTCGTTACATTTTTCCAGCCTTTCGTGATCCATGAAGCAGCACGCGCCCCTTCCCCCATCTGAGGGCAGCTCCCTTGCTGTAGCGCGGTGGGTCAAGGTTCTGCATGGAGCGGGTGCCGACAGCAAACGCGTATTGCCACGGCCCTTAGGAGACCGAGTCGCAGCCCTGGGCCTGCGTGCTGGGTGCTGAGCAGAACATAAAGGGGGTTCCTGCTCCAGAGAGCTCCACTTTCAAGAGACATCAGTGGGTTCACACGGTCAGCGGGACAGTAGTGGTGGTGCTAGAGACTGTGGCATAAAAATAGTGACCTGATTTATAAGGAATGACACGGCATAAAGCAGGAACGAGACCTACACCTAGCTGTGCTGTATGCACGGACGTGGAACAAGGAAACAAGTGACTGTGGTGCTACAGTCTCTGGAGGACTGTACTGGGCACCTCCTATCCAGGCTCTCAAAGCAGGAGGAAGTCAGAGAAAAAAGTTCTAGTTAGCAGGAAATATTAGAGACCAAGCTAAGGTAAGACTAAGAATGAAAGCTGGGAAGAGGGGGCACGATCCCCTCAGATATAAGCATCACAGCCTAAAGAGGTTCATGGAGTGCTAGAATGTACTGAAGAATGTAAGAGCCCCCCATTGAGTCGTCTGCCTGCAGCCGTGCTTCCTGCAGGCCCAGAGCCGGGATTTCTGGCAGTCTGGGTTAGAACAAGCTCGAGACTTGCTCCAGAAGCATCGCACCTGTGGAGAAGCTGCCAAGGCAGGTCAGTCCCGATCTCACTGGAGGAAAGGGGAAAAAAAGAACAAACACATCTATGGCAGGGCAATATAAAGCTTTTAGCATTAAGCAACAGGTTTGAAGGGCACGCAAAGAAGCTCTGACAGCTGGACGCTTGTCCGTGTATCTGCAGCAGCTTTCCATGCTCAGTCTGTCCAAACACTGCCAGGGCTCCCACCCTTGCACTCCAACCGCACTGCTGCCTCAGAGAGCCTGCGGTCCCCGCCGAAAGCAGCGGGCACTTGCAGCCTTCCCGTCTTCTGCCGCGGACGTTTGTTCCATAAGAGCAGATAATCATTTCATGACTCGCCCTCCCCTCTCAACACGAGCTATTTAACCCACACAACGGCCAGCTCTCAGCCTCGTTAGACTTAACGCTTCCCAGCCATTTCAGTCAAGGCCAGGACCCTTTTTAAAGTAACCGAGCGACAGCATTAAAGACGAGAGTCAACTGAAGAGGCAAAACTTTATTACGAAGCTTGTGCAGAATATAGCTGTGATGTGCGTAACACAGGTGCTTTATCAGAGTAGCATGAGTGGCTGGGTCATAAATAAAGGAGGCTATTTCCTGTACCAGAGCTGAATCTTTTTCTCCCGCTTGATTTTCTTCTGAAGCTGCAGGATTCCATACAGCAAGGCTTCTGCAGTGGGCGGGCAGCCTGGTGGGAAGAGAGGAAGGGGAGAGAGCGGGCACTGGATTAGGCGAGGCTGACAAACAGGTAGGAAAAAGACTGTGGTTCTAAGGCTAGAAAGGACCATTATAATCAGTGAGTCTGATCTGCACGACCCAGGCCAGGGCATTTCGCTCCTGCTACCACCCGACTTAAGCATCTCTTCTAGATAAGCAGCCGAGTTCAGAGATTTTGTTGCTTTACTTGGTAGCTTAAGCTCACTGCAACGATCATTCTCGCTGAAAAATAGGACACGCAGCTTTCCCTGCACTGCTTTAAAACAGACGAGCGAGAGAGAAAGAGGTTGGGTTTCTTTTTAGTTAAACTGAGGTGCTTTGAGAAGACGTTTTGATTGCTCAGCAGAAGAAAAAGCTCTCTTGGACTAGTGACAAGCTGTCCCCCCCCTCCATGCAGGTGGAGTTCATCTCAATGAAGTCACAAGGGCCTCACGTTTCAGTTCCTTACACAGAGCACGAGGCCAGTCTCTAAACTTAAGCCAGGCAGCTTCAATTGCAATGAAAAGGCCTGAACTAGCTCCAGACAGCACACACAGGTTAGAAACACATTAACAGCGCCAGCCCACCTCTTTTGGAACCACGACCCACGTTAACAGCAGAGCTAAGAACAGCCGGTTACCTGGAACGTAGATGTCCACTGGGACGATGCGGTCGCAACCCCTCACGACAGAATAGGAGTAGTGGTAGTACCCGCCGCCGTTGGCACAGCTAAAGGGCACAAATGTTTCGGTATTCAGGTGCAGAATGCCAGGCCGGCGTCAAACAGGCAGCCAGGCACAACTCTACCCGTGCGGCCAAGACGAACAGAGCCAAGTAGCAAGTAAAACCAAATGCCCTGCAGCGATAAGCATGTTACAGACGGCTTAGCTCTGCGATCAACCTCGCCGCCACGGATCTGAATGCACAGACAAGAGTGTGCACACATACGCCGCCCCGATTTCGACTACATCTAGTTTCTTTGCCAAAGCGAGTAACCAAGCAGCCCTGCTGCTCAAGCCTGGGCGCTCGCAAGCAGGTGGAGATAGCTCGTGGTTTCAGTCTGTCTCACTGACCAGGCACTTCCAGAGCGCGGGCTCCCCCTTCCCTTCCAGAAAGGATCTCTGCTGCCTGCAGTTACAGACTCCCCTCCTTCCCCAGGGAAGGAGCGTTTGAGCCCCATTTTAATTCACCCTGAGGACAGAGCGCAGCGCAAACCCCTGGAAGCAGGAACAACCAACGGGCTCTTTTCTCCCAGCGAAGCCTGAGGAAAGACAGCTCCAGCACTAACCTCCCCATGGAGATCACGTAGCGCGGCTCGGGCATCTGGTCGTACACCTGGAGGGGAGAGATTTCAGAGTGAGCGCCCTTCACTTCTAGTCCCTAGAGCCGCGCCCGACAGCGGCAACAGAGCCCCCACCTTCCTCAGAGCAGGAGCCATTTTGTTCGTCAGGGTGCCGGCCACAATCATGACGTCAGCTTGCCGGGGGCTGGCCCGAAACACCACCCCGAAGCGGTCCATGTCGTACCGGGGAGCAGCCATGTGCATCATCTCCACCGCGCAGCAGGCCAGGCCGAAGGTCATCGGCCACAAGGAGCTCTGGGACGGGCGAGAACGAAGCGAGTCAGCAATGCTCACGGCGGGGGAAGCGTCCACAGCATCAAACCCCCGGGAGCAACAGCGCGCCCACTTAGCGGGGAGTAGGGTAAGGGGAGAGACGAGGCCGACACGGCGCTACACCTGAACGAGCAGGAGGCAACGCCTCCGGCTTGAGAAGCTTCCGGTCTTAATGCGAGGGAGAGGCTTGTGCACACAAAGCACGGACTCCCTCGCTCTCAAAGAGCGCTATGGAAATGCAGCCACCTCTGGGGTGGAAAGGCAGCCACCATAATACACTGCACGAGGACGTCAAGGTGACGGAGACAGAAATCTTTGCTCAAAGCAAAGAATTACTCCTCTCCGGACCAGGCTGGGCTTCAAACGAGGCGTCACCTTAACAGCGCGACACGCAACGAAACGGGATGCCTTCCCCGGATACTCTTGATAACACGGAACGGCCGGTAGCGAGACACCGGCCCTTCCCGGCGCTCTCGCGCCGCGCTCACCCGTCGTCCCCAGTTGATCAGGTCGTCCAGCTTGGCGACCACGTACTCTCCGCGGGTGGTCGGGGCCCAGGGCTGTTTCTGGACGAGCGCCGCGCTCCTGGGCTGCGCCTGGCCGGGGG